TGTGTGTGTGTGTGTGTGTGTGTGTGTGTGTGTGTGTGTGTGTGTGTGTGTATGCAGTATGGATGTGGGTGTGGATGTGGGAGTGTGTGCTGTGTGAGTGAAGGGGCGGAGGGGGAAATAGAAATAGAGAATTTACTTTTGAATTTGGAACTTTTTATTGAAGGCATCGAGGAGGCCGAGAATAATAATAATTCATGATATTTTTTGTACAGACACGTCAGAATCATACAGGACCGTTTACATTATAATAATATTATAGAATGTCATGTCTTGCGTAGGTTAGCGTAGGTCCCTCCTGTTTGGCCACTGTAACAACAGCGTTGGAGGCATTTGGATCTAGATAAAAAGCGGTGGCGTTTATAATCGCAGTGTGTGGGTGGGTGGATTGCTCTATTTTGCGGTGCTGTTAAAAACAGAAACGACTGAATAAGTCAACTGCTTCCACCCTAGCCCCAGACATCGGTGTTATAAACACAGCCAATCATGCCACCCCTCTCGTGCATGTAATAACGATTCGAGGAACTGTTGGGTTTTTTTTTTCTTCCCTCGGCTGGCCTTACGATCAGGGCAGCAGGCATTAAAAACGGTCAAATTAATTTAACACATCTGGCCTTTAGCTACCCAAGAAAACCCCAAGCTGGAGCGCCACTAAGCTTAGAACTTACAACACTGGTGAGATTTCCCACTTGTTTCACACCCACACCATCTTGGCCATCTAATTTTAAGAAATTACAACAGAATTTATCAAAGGCGCGGGGGGGGGGTTACTTTAAAACAGGTTTCCATCTTAGAGAGATTTCCGTTAAGATATTTATACATAATACGAATTTTTTCTGTCTCCCTTGCGACCCCGTCTTACACAGATTCGACTGTATAATAGAAAGAAAGAAACTTATAATATCTATCTGTTTCTTCTTCTTTCTTTCGTTTTCCGTCTTCTTGTACCTTTAGGGTGTCGAGGGGAGAAAGAGCTTTTTGTTTCTAGCAAGTTGGATGGCCGGGCTGGGTGGGGTGTTGTATGTTTTTATTATACAGCCGAATCTATGTAAGATGGGATCGCAAGGGAGCCAGAAAATTTTTTAATCCCAAGACATTTTTCGTCTTAGTCACTTAGACTTAGACTAGGGAAATTGGGGGAAGATGAAAGGGA